TTTGACTTTTCAACTTTAAAATGTGTAATTGGAGACCTAGCCACTTGTGGAAATAATGGTAACGGATAAGATCTCCTTTAATGGGAGACAACTCGTCTCCAACAAAAGATCCTCCAAAATATATTATTCTGTTTGGGTTTTTTTTTCTACCCCCCCTTTAAAACTATGTTCCAACTGGACACGTATTTATTGGCGATTTACAAGTTATCTTATTCACGGAAAAAGTGAAAATCTCGAAAGAATCCTTACATTAATTGAATGTGTCTTATTATTTAGATGAAAACCTATATCAGAGAGTGGGTGAAACCAGAGCACACTGGGTTGGATTCGCATAAACGCATGCATATGTGTTGGTTGTGTTGATGGTGGTGGTGGTGTGTGATGGTGGTGGTGGTGGTGGTGGTGGTGTTGTGTGTGTTGGTGGTGGTAGTGGTGTTGTGTGTGTTGGTGGTGTTGGTGTGTGTGTGTGTTTTGTTTTGTTTTTTTTTTCTGCAGGTAAGATGCCTCAATACTTGGCCATTTTCCTTGTCTGCGCGTAGATTACAGAACAAACCAGATTTGTTTCATTACCAGAACAATTCTAAATACATACTACCAAAATTTCCTTAAGATAGAATATTTCATATATAATGCTTCAATATTACATTTTTAGATTGCTAGTTCATGATAAAGATATGGACCTTACTTGTTTTTATCGGATTCTTAATCTTATTTAAAACAATTTAAACAACATTAATTGATAGCACCTGTATTTTACCACTACGAAAAGTGGAAGGAACGCATTCAGTGTCCAGCAAAAATATGGTTATCAATTATACCGTAGCACATTTCGGGAAGAACTACAAATGTTTTATTCTCTTTGAAAAGATTTACAAAAACTGTAGAAATTTAGTTTTGATACCGTATATTTCCCGAACTTTGAGTATTTTGTGGTTGACGTCATCATTTTTTGTGTATTAAGAATTGTGGGCTCGAAGGCGTTCGGGCAAGAAACGGAATAATGTGTTAACCACAACAACATGAATTATAATGCTGATTACATATATATATATATATATAACTGATATTTCTCTTTAGAATTCACAATATAAACTGTTGTTTAAATGAATAATTCCTTTTGTAATGTACTAGGGGAAACAACTCGTACTAGGTTTCAAGATTAATCTTTTGTCTAGTCATTCAAATGAATTACAAAACATTTGCAGCTAGTTTAAAGTTTAAAGTGAAATATGCATATATACCGCTTTATACATTTATATATTTATATATTTGAAAACATTCCGGTAGGCTCCTAAATTTAGGACACTTATCTTTTTTGAAGATGTCATTCTGTGAACTCGTGTTACAAATAGAACATACTTCTGTGTAAATTTAATCTAACTCTTTATTTAACAGATTATTTGAACGGTTTGCTGTCAGATTTCGATAACAGGAGATGAATTATCGTGAATGACGCGTTTCCATATCTTTTTGTCTCACTAAATCCTTACTCGAGTCTGTACTGTCTTGAGTTCGATCACATATTGTCTTATTAGCCAGTAATGTGAAAGAAAAACCCAACGTTTTAAATCCAGCGCAATACATATAATCATGGCATTTCAGATACAAAGGCACACTATTTTACACACTCTATCATCATAATAAGAGCATGTACCGGGATACAATTGTCTATTTTATCTCTTTGGTGGCGAAAAAACTACAAATTAACAATACAGCGATAACGATTTGCCATAACATAATATAGTTTTTAGAAAGGTAAATTGGCTTAGAATACATTGCCTAACGACACCGTATTTAATACGAGAAGAAAAAATCTCGAACTTGATACCTAACCCGGACTCTAAATATCTCTTTACATAGTCAATTCTGGTAAGAAATCGTAAATGTATATTTATGTTAAAACAATAACGAATAGAATAACTTTAATCACAGGCTAAAGAAATAATCTAGTGATTTATCGGAGTAGATCAAATCATCGCTTTGTGTTTTACCGTGAAGATTATATTCAAATATCTTGTAATATATATAAAAAAGATCACCAGACTCTTGTAGTTACTTAGTAAAGTTTCAATACATGGGAGTTATGGAAACTGATTAAAACGTCAATTAATGTATCACAAGATAACATCCAAATATCTTGTAATAAATGCAGAACGGATTATCAGACTTTTTTGTAAATAATTCTTATGCAGTAGCTTATCATTTATGGATAGTGATAAAAAAATATCTCGTTATCAATGTAAGGGAGATAACTCCCACTGATACTGTGGTAACAATAGCTGGAACTGAGCTGTAGTTATAAGAATATTACATAAAAACCGGTCGAAATGTCGAATGTCAACAATTATCGTGGGAGCAGCACGGTTGAACAGACTGGAAATGTGATTAAAACAACCGTTTATAAACCACAAGTACGTACCAAACGTCTGATTTATACTGAATTAAATGTTCTGATCTAATATTGTGTGTAGTTATATAATAATCAATGACATTTACGTGAGCAAAAACATCATTTGAATTTTACCCGCGTTCTACAGTAACTTAACCAATATGGCAGCGACAGTATAGTGATATGATGTAGAAAAACTATGAAAATTGACATAAAATCGGCACATCACTTTCGTGAACATTAGCAACATTCATCGAAGAAGAAAATGTAAATATTTTCAATCTAAGCTGCTTCCGAGGCACATTTTACAAAGACACAGTGTACTAATGTAAACAAACAACAGCTGATCGCCCACACTCACCGGCTCGACTCACCGATTCGGCAAAGAACTACGAAGCACATTCGTTAAAATATGTGTTATTAAGAAATACATTCGATTGGGTTTTCGACCGATAAGAAAACTAAGAAAGGTTTAACAAAAAAAAACCCAAGCGTCATTACACTAGCGTTCTGGTCATTTCCTGAAACTTGTATTGATTTTCTTGTTCGACATGGACCTCCCGTATATTGTTCACTGAAGTAGCCACCAGATATTACAATCCGGAGACCCTGCCTACAAATAGCACAACTGCTGACGGGGCAATAACAAGTCAGAAAACAAACAGATAAGTGTGATACTTAAAATAAGAGAAGAAAAACCGACTTTATTTATCCAAGAAAATATCAAGATAAAATTTCAAAAATACTCAAAAATTAATACATTTATTAAAATGAAGCATTAATTATTCTACAACATGTTCCATCCATTGTATTTCTGTTATATTTATTCTCAATGTTGCTAGCGTAGAGGGAGCTTAACGATTCACTGTAACGACATCACAAATGTAAATGGAAGCCGCGTTGATTGGTTAGATGTAACACGTCACCATATAGGCCTATTCTTGTATGTTCTCCTTAATTTATGTAAATAGTATATAGAGAATCCATCACCAGTGTCTTCAGATATAAGCTGTATTTTGCCGACGGTAAAGACAGACTACGCTTACTGAGAATTCAGACTATCGAAACTTGAACAGTTCGTTAGGTCTATTTTATCTTTCTTTACCTGACGTTGACGTTACGCTGAATTGTGCCCGATGATGCATGTCAAAATGATCATGCTGCGCGGAAATATAGTTCGAAATATCAATTGATGTAAAAACAATTTCATGAATTTTCGTTAATTTACTTGTTTTTAGAAATAAAATCGCTTAAAATGAAATATTTAAGAATACAGCAAAATTATATGTGGAGGTGCAGAATAAAAAGAAATACTCAATGTTACAAAAAATCGATAGGATTTTATGGGATATCATTAGAATCCAAAGCCATTTCCACGCCTGAATATCTCGTAAATTTAGTGGTTGACAGATCAAATCTAACCAGAAAGGTGAAATATGACGGTTTTGTAAATCCCTCCAGAATCATATCAGCGATTACCCGACACCGGACAATAACATCCTTACCAGTGGACAATATGCTAAACATTGTAATTCCAAATGCCAATTGGCGGTCCCATCTCCGTTAAGCCGATAAAGAAATTGTACATGAAATAACACTGAATCATCCGTACGAAGATTTCATAAAGTCTGGTACTTTAAAAGTGTGATTGTGATTATCATATCACCGGAACTGCGCTGATACTCTTTTACACAAGATATACTCCGCACATCTCGCTTTCCTTATTTAAATGATAACGCGTTCAAAAAACAAGAAAATACTAACATGTGAATTGGGTGCAACATTCTTCTGAATTAATGAAACAACGCTCTTCCGTAAAGACTTTCTTATATCTCTCATCAATAACGCATCGGCGCCTTACACCATCTTGTTCCTCCGTTCCACTGTCGAAGCCCTAAGATAGAAATGCCAACCTGTCAATCTATTTGATATAAAATCTATCATTAATATGTGTTATTGTAAGTGTATACAACTGTAGGTATATATATATATTGTGCATATTGTATGCGAGATGTGTGAGAGTTATATCCCTTGATTTGATTTTTCCTTGGTTTTTTTCCCTTTCTGTGTTTATAAATTCACTTTCATTTCAAATTATATAATTTACATCATTACTCTTAAACTTTGTTAACTTTGGCTTCGTGGAGAGAATTTATATAAGCTTTGCCTGTTACTCAATCCACATTGACTGTACCATCTTTGTCAATAAGATTTGTTGAAATGAAATAGAAATCACGTACAACAAGTAGGTAATGATCCATTTTTCATAACATTAAAACTAGGAATTATAAAATTGATATTCTTTGACTCCATGCGTTTGTAATTCGACGAATTCCACATCCCTTCAGTTTAGAAACTCCACAATGATGAATCACATATCGTTACAGATCACAGTTAGACTATTAGATGTTGATCTGTCAAACTATTTCCTTACAATTCCTAACATTCCCTATACAAAATATCAAGTGGAGTCAACATATCAGTCAGTACAAATGGCGATTATGATCTCACAACACTCATAATAAGTAATAATTAAATATATCTGCAAGGTATCACGTCTGTTGCAATAACGTAATGATAACTTTATGCAATATAAGAAAACAACCAGAATAAAAAAATCATCGCTTGTTGCGGAGTCTGAACAAGATATACCGACAGCATTCCACTAGAAGCTGGATCAGTTCCACTCCACTAAGGACAGATGCGCCTACAAACAGTCCAACCGTACCACCTATATCGGACAGAAACTGTACGCTCTGAAAAAAGAAATTGTGGAAGATTATTTTTCCCTCCCATAAATCATTTATCTTCACCTAAATTAAAATTCTCCCGACATCAAAATAGCACATAATATAGCTTTGATTTAAATCTGTAGCCGTTGTTTTGTTTTCGCTTTGTTAACAAAAGGGCAACAACTAAACTGCAACGAAAGGTTTTCCGTAAATGGTAATTTATGAATCGTAATTCATAAAGATTTTGTGGTGTGTTAAAGCTGAGCGAAGACATTTAACTGCCTGCAGACTAACTGAAACGTCCTATTTTAACTAAGAGAACAAAATTGACTGTGGAGTATTACTCATTCACTCGCTTGGTTTAAGGCGACGGAAATATTAATTTCTTGATAGTACATAGAAACCAGTTGAAACATCAAATGTCAACAGTTTTACCGTAGGAGGAGCGCAGACTGAACAAACTGAAAATGTGATTAAAACAACCGTTTATAAACCACAAGTTCGTACCAAACGTGTGATTTATACTTAATAGAAATGGTATGATCTAATATTTTGTGTAGTTATATAATAATCTATGACACTTACGTGAGCAAAAATAGAATTTTAATTCTACCAGAGTTCTACAGTAATTAACCAATATGGCAGCGACAGTATAGTGATACCCTGTAGATAAACTATGAAAATCTACATAAAAACGGCACATCACTTTCGTGTACATAAGCAACATTCATCAATTAAAAAAATGTAAACACTTAAAACCTAAGCTGCTTTGAGGCACAGTTCATTTCATAATAGCAGCTTATTTTTCAGATGCTTCATTAATTGAAACTGACCTTTAAAATTTGAATGAAATTTCGACGTTGACGGCTATTGAACTTTTGCGAATTTAAATTACAATAATTAATTTATAATCTTTCTAAAATTACAATTCTAAACAGTAATTAAGTTGTAACATAGCATTATACATGATACGTTCACTTCAGGTATTGTGATAACAGCAACTGTGACCACCGCTGATTTTCGCCTGAGTGTTTAAAACCAAACACTCAACATTATTAGTTCTATCCTCTGACTGAAACAGATCGAGGCCTTGCTATTTGTTCTACGTTCAGCAGCATGAATACGAAGTCATATTTCGAAATAGGAATAAACCGAAGATGTGGAAAAGGGAAGAGAGACGCACGGGTTCGCTACCATAATCGGTGGCAGAAATAGTTTAATACACAAAATTAGAGAGCAATGTTAGTTTCATTGATACTGACTTTATCATACTTACATCATATGCAGATAACTCTTCAATATGCTCATAGCTCAATTCCTTGAAGTACAAGTCTAGTTTCAAGAAGTTGCCCAGAAGTCTGTAAATGTAAACAAAAGACAGTATCTAGTATTAGTGTGTTACTTAAATGTTAAGAAAGAGAAACTAGGTTACACCTTTCTACACGCTAACAGAATAAGTCACTAAAACTCCCTCTGTTTCATGTAAAGATCCCGACTGACTTCTGTAAATTGTTTGAGATAAGCTAGAAAACATAAAGGAAGTCAACATTTGTAAAGCTCTTACTTGTTCATGTTAAGCGGTAAGTCGCCATTGGATGCTCGAATTTCACTGCAGTTGTAACCTGTTGCTTCCTTGATTTTCAAATCCCGACCCTTCATGCACATCAGAGGTATCAATTCACGTTTCTGAATAACAAACAAACACATTTCAACTATATAAACTCCACGATGCTCGCATTTATAAATCAACCAGCAATATGCAATGCAAAAATTCATACATGTGGAGTTTTTACTTTTCCAAGATAACAAACCTGGATATTCTTTTGATGAATTGCATAGATTAAGATTAATATTACCTTTCATTACCCTTCTCAAACAGAAAATGTCTGCCAATATGAGAAATGGAAAATGACTGAAATGATAGTGTGAGATTTTTTATTTTTTTCGTGAGCATTCAACAAATGGAAGATAAGAGAAAAAGACATACACACGTATAACCTTCATTGAAATGCAATATATCTAACTGAAATAGATTATGCAAAATAATGAACACGACTGTTCGCTATTGAATTAAAAAGGAAATTTACATGATTTTGATGTAAGTTTCAGTTTTACTGAGTTAACATCCAAGGTCAATAACGAGCATTTGATTGTCAGAAAGCCTTACCAAGTACTCTTCATGTGGCCAGCTAAGACTTGACACAGTGGTGGAGAAGTGGAGCTCGCTGTCAACAGATTTTGAAACGAAGTAAATCATTTACTGCTAGTGGAGTTTTCTGTATTACATGCAAGTCACACTTTTTTGTGGTGTCAGATTGGTACGAATAAACATCGGAATATTATATCCATATTATACTATAATAGAGAGTATCACCTCATGCTTTGAAAATAATACTCATTGGAGTAATCTTACCTGCATGGATTTGTGCATGGACATGGTAAGCTTCCCCTCACTTGAGCTTCCAGTACCATTAACGAGCATATAACTACAAATAAACATTTATATATAACCAAGATAAAAATCTCTTGCCCGAAAAACAATTAATAATGAAATTAATACCACCAAAATCGAAAATTATTCACATGGCTTTGTTCACGAGACTAGCTTTTACTGTGTCACTTTCAGATACTGAGAGTTTTTAACCTTTTCAGTCTGTATAAATTGACAGGTTTGGTCCTTCCAAACACGTTTACTGGCTTAAATGCTGCCCTTAGTAGTCTTTTAAATACTCGATTATTATACTGAATATTAATTTATCATTATTGATAAATTCTGTTTCTCCGACTGATATGTCTTGTAGTAAATACTTTGAAGACTTTAAAACAATTATTTCACGTCTGTGATCCTCAAAATGAATCAACATGATTACAACATTGTTTTTAAACTAGTAGTATCAGTTTCAACGAGAAAGTCTTTTTGTTTAGTTTTGAAACAAAATTGGGCGGACGGACGGACTGACAAATAGACTGACTCCAGTACTTTTGGAGGGGGTATACAACTGACGAACGAACGGACAGACCATGGATGAAAGGGCACTGATATCTAAGTTCGACATGTTCAGAAAGGCATGTGAGTATAAAGTCAGTTTGGAATAAACAAGACTTTTTTGTTCTCCAATATTTGAACAATCCTTATTTTGTATCCTAGTTTCTATTTGATAGGATACTATCAGGATGTTAACCCACCCAGCTGTGGGTTTTCTCTACTAGTATTTGTTTATATGGATATCATTACCATAATTCTCTTTACACGTTGCTGTGGAGTTGGTGACAATAGATTTGTCAATAGACACGAATCCTGTTACACAGCCACATATATCTTTGGTTAGCGTGATAAGACAAATTTGCTCACACGCCTGAAAAGGAATGGAAATCGTGTTAATATTGCACATTAAATAAGTGTATTTGTTTTTTTGTTCTTTTCACATTGTCAAAGATTGTAAAGTGTATATAATACTGTAACATAACTGTAACTATGCTTATATGATCTAACGGCGATTTAAGAAAAACACCAAATCATTATACAGAGAACGGATGAACCAGTCGTAACACCAATATAATGTTGAACGTTAAGTAGGACAAGTAAACTGTGTTAATCGACACACCTGTATCGAGACTTTCAGACTGATTCGTTAACTTGTTCCCAAAACTGCATTGCTCATAGCCTGGATCGCATAATGAATAAGAAATTTCTTTTCTTTACAGATCACATAGAGACAGGAACTGCTAAACATTTTGAAAACCCAACTTTCAAGCAAATAGAAGATGGAATATTTGTGTAGAGAAATTTGCAATGTTTTTTTTTCTTTTTTTCCACTTGTTTTATATCGCGATATACTGTTTCCCGTTTGCACTTGTCAGGGAAAGAAACGCACTATTACATTGATTGTAAAAAAACGGTATTTGTATTTATATAACAATTAATACACCTATGCCGAGATGTAAAAACGAGATGGATGTTGTGAAATATTGTTTTTAATTTTAACACCGCCATTAAATATTGAACACGTCTGATATAAAGTAATCGATGGTCTAGATCTGTATACCTTACAACAACTTCGGAATATTGCCATGTATAGAAAGAACTAAGGTTTTCACGTACAGTCCGATCCATTTCGTATAATGACAAGGCTAATTGCTCACGTGAGATGGCAGTCATGCAACAAGGCAGTTATACGTTATATCAACAAGAATATTTTGAAGGTTCTTTTACTGACATTCGATTATAATAGTAAAACTTACAATAAACGCAATTGACATTTGAATCTATACATGCTGATATATGATACGTTTTTGTTATAGTTTTGCTATAGTAACATACCATTCTGCTGTACTCTATTCCATACTTGGTCTTGTATTCTAGGTACTTGCCACAATTTCCTTGTGGATACTCCCGTCGTTTTATCTTTTTCTGTAAAGAAAATCTCTTTCTTGATTAATTTGACAAAAGAAGTATGTGTATACATTAAATATCCTTTGTGTATCACCGTTTTGGTAAATACATTTTTTCCATGCTTTCATATCATGACCTAAGTTTTTGAGAGGACTCCAGACTACAAAACGGGAATGATCTAAAATGCTGATCATCGAATCTCTCCCATTCGGGACACGAAGTTCAAAGAAATGTTGCATCCGTTTCACACCTCTGAAGTATCGTGAGGTAAAGTACTTGCGAGGGATATGACAAAGTTTCTAGTAATAAATGCCTGGGGGTGGGGTTGGGGATGCAGTCCGTATATGGCGTTCGAGATTTCACAGTCAGAATTACGTAACATTATGATGTAATGCTATCGTGCCAGGTCATGACATTTCTATGCGATGGTATAATAATTGTATTTATGCAAGGCATAAAGTAATCTATATTATCTGATTAGTTATTATATATTCATCTGAATATATTAGCATGTTATCAATTTTCTGTCAGAATATTATACATTCTTGTCCGGATCACGCTTACACTCCCTCTGTTTACTACTATCGCCACAGTAAGGGGAAGTCACGTGATGTTTTGGTTTATGTGATCAAGTGACTATTGAAAAAAATTCGTGCACAGAAAAATTTTGGTGGACCAGATATTTTTGACCCACCTCCTCCCTATCTTATTGATTCCTCCATTGATGTACATTGTATGTTTACGTTAAGTTCATACTGGCTACCATCTTTTTTCTTGTATATTTACGGTTATATTAAGGTTTTGCATTTTTGTGAAACAATTCCCATCTTTTTTGCTTGATGTATTCATTATCTTGTTATATATGACTGAATGTTACACACCTGTTTGATCCTACAACTTGCATTTGAATAAATGCTCATTTTCGACAATACAAGTGTTTGTTATTTTATCAGCAAAAAACATAGCAGAGCAGTTTGTGTGTATGTATGTTTCTTACTGGCTAAGCATGATGATATAAACGTAAATGAGTGACCACATAATAGTTATCATGAATATCTAATCTGACAACAAATCCAGACGCTCAGCAGTAAGACATTGGATTTTTTCAATACAATATTGTACCTGCTTAAGACTGATGAATGTCCAGTCAGGTGCTAAGGTCACTCCTTGTTCTTCTATAAATGGATATGTCCCCTGCTCATGTACCAACAGCTTCAGTCCATAACCACTGCTGTACGGACTGATGTATTCATTACTGTCTAGGTTCAACATCAGTGTCAGACCTTATGATAACATTAAAAATAATAATAATTTATACTGCATTGTCTATAAGTATTTGCGGTAGGACCACGAATATGAATAGAAATATTCCAAAATTGCGTGTCAAAGAAAGTGTTCATAATGAAATGACCCACAAAAAGATGTTTACATGTGTTTCATATAACCAACGTCACGTGATGTAATGTAAATAAGCACTCGTTGTATTTTCGTGATTTCGTAAAACAAAATCCAAAGAAGCGTTTTTCAGAGAAATCTGCAAAAAATTCTAAATCAATAAAACATTTACTAACCATAGGCTGGCCCTGGTACAGTGGCAACAAACCTATTGGACTGCATTGTGTAACAGTTTCCAAACTGGCTGCTCTTGAAATGCACAAAGTCACTGGAAATATATTATGCCTCAATATAACTAATTAGTAAAAACCATATTATGCAATGTGCACGTTAAAACTTTCAGACCCTATATGATCTACATGTTCTCTCTTGGCATAAATTGTTTTAGCAGCATTACCTCGAATTACAACGTCTTGAGTTGATGGAGCAATGAAGCAGCATGTCGTCAATGGTATGTCCGACTCTTAACATTTCACTTCTGGAAAACACAGATCAATCTTATGTCATCGGAAGTAGTATTCCGGAAGTAATAGAAAAAGTCATGGTTTGATGACCCGATGTTTACATGAAATTAATCATCCTGGAGTTCAAGTTGTTTTCTCAATTCGAAATTGATTCAAAATGAACAGAATGCACTCGGAGCTTATCTTAATGTGTTAATGAACACTCGGCGCCACATTCTTTCCGATGTAAGTTGTAACAGACAATAAAAAATATGTACTTAATATGCTAACTGTCTTAACAGTTTTGTAAACCTACTCAGTAATCTCGTTCATGGACTGAGCGACAACCATATTTCTGAACAGGAATGCGTTGTTTGGAATGCTCTCAGTGAGATCCCATTCTTTCTGAGCAACGCCATATTTCTCAAACCTTTCCAGGAAATGAAAGTATGGATTACTTTTATTAACAATCATCGACCGGCGTGCTGTTGTTGATTCTTTCATCGAAGTATCGAAGAACTGTATATAGAAAAATGAAAACAAAAGACCAACAAAGTAATAAAGTCGACTACATGTTTTTAAAGTTCAACTCCGTTCAATTTATTATCCAAAATGCATATCTCTTTCATTAATTTTATTGTCAACCCTTACCAAATATTTCAATAAACAAACAATTCTGACTGTAGTATGTTTAACATCTATAAGACCATACTGCAATCAAGATAGGCATATATACTGTTCCTATTGTGGTACGTTTGACACCTATTAAAGAATGCTGCAAGGCATATGCGGTTTGAATATCTCGTTGGTATTACTAGATTTAATAAAATTGACAAAATGGTTTACCTCCATTTCTGAATATACCAACAAGTATTCCAGAGCTTTGTCAGACAGATTTCCTAGTTGCGTCTTTTTCACAGGATTGATGTTACAAAAAGAAATGGCCGGATACTTCAAAGCTCCAAATTTCAAATCGATCGATGTTTGTTTTGGTAGTGAAACAAAATAAGTTGATAATTTGAAGATCTGTAAACAAAGGGCTCCAAACGTCAACAGCCACAGACTTATCCATAGAACCTTCTTATATGTCTGTGTGGCACTAACAATGTGTGCTACTCCATGGACCGTGGTCATCATGGCCAGCTCTCTCAGAACCTCTTTCAACCTTACCTTCTGTCTCTCCATAGCTTTCTCATTGACAGGATCCTAATCAAAATGTTGTTGATAATAATTCATAAAGATGCAATGTATGATAATTAAATTTACACATAAACATACTGACTGATGCGAATTTTAAGTGTATTTAAAGGATACAAAATCGATATTTATTAGGTTATGATATTGATTACAATTACAATTAAATTGCAATGAGATATTATAAATCCATAATAATGTAATATTCACGAATTACATGTCTTATGATATTAAACAAAGTATCATAAGGTCTTAAAAAAGCAGAATCAAACGAAGATTAACGTTTTACATACTACATCAGGTTCACCAACTTCCTCCATTTCTATAGTTCAGTCACTCTTCATACGCTATAACATTCTGTTTGGAATATAAAATAAGTATTCCATTTTTGATTTCCAGTGATTATTAATGTGACAAGTGTATATCAGATAAGCAGATAGACTATCTCAATGGCGTTCATACTGGAGATTAAATAGTTCATTTAATTCGTTGAAGGACAGCGAAAAAACGGATCATTACAAGAGGTCAGATATTCATATTTCCTATATTCAAATCTTATCATACATAAGAGGTCAGAAATAGCTTCGTGTACCTTGACTTATGCCTTGGGTTGATCCTTGAATGAAAGCATTTTTTACTATTCTACCATGATCGTTTCCCCGACAGATAAAAGAAAGAGCCCAGATCCAACTAATGTCATTCAAATACAGGCATTTGTATTGATTTTATAAATGTTTTGAAAACACTTTGGATTTTTTTCTCTGAAAAACGCCTGGTGGAATAAGGGCCATATAATAAAGGTATGTAATATGTATATAATAAAGTTTTATTGGTGCGCACTAATTTGGTTTAAGAAATATATTAATTGTACATGGGGACATGTACATGATACTGTACCATAAAATCAGTTACATTCATTTAACTTCGCATGGTTATAACCTCTGGAAGAAACAGTTCACAATCACTTTTTATCTATAATTATTTTCATTCAATCGACTTTTGTTTTGACCTGGAAGCTTTGTGTTCTAAGTATCTAGGGTATCTAAGTTCACGGATAGCCTTAAGTATAAGATCTTTGGGCAAGTCACTTTATGTCAGTGCCCTGGGTTGCATATGGCAGGATGTCACACGACATAAAGTAATGTAACTACCAGCAAATACAAGAAAATTGATACTGGTTGTTTGTGTGGAAATATACAATTTAAAAACGAACGGCAAACAAAAAACATCACACAATATCAAAGTTGATTTGCCTTCTAAAATACGTTGCCCATCAATATACATTTTTCACAGTTTTATTGTAGTTTGCTAAAAAGGGTCAATGACCTAATTCTAAGATGACATAAGCATTCGTTCAATTCAAATGCACAGCAAAGTGTCTTTTCAGGTCCGTACACCTGCATGTCTTCATTCTGTTCGATAGGAGTTGAGTCCCTTCTGCTGAACGTAAAGACTTTTTCTAATATTTACCAAAAACGGTTTTAAAAATCAAGATGATTTCGTTGTTTAAAATAGTGTTTAAAATGAGAATATCATAATCGTTGATTGAATTATTGAGTAACAAAATATCACACAGTTTACGTTTATGTTTGCCTGAATTGTACATGTATTCAGCATTAGTTTCTCTTCGTTGATGTTCATAGTATTTGCTATTTAGAGTGATGTTGAAAAGTCACACGACAAAAAATGTTTTATGATGCTGAAGTCATTCGGTATTCTGTATACAATACAATTAGGTTAATATGGGATCCTAGGTAGTCCGGTGATTCGTGAGAATGTTTATTCTTATCCATTACAGAATAAGACTTTTTATGTTAAAGTGGAGTGGAAAAATTTGTGAAAATATGCTGTATCGTCAGCCTCTCAATGTTCCATAATCAAATTTTCTTTGTGCTTGACCAATCTATAATGGACAACAAGAATGGTTTATACCACGAGAAGGTTTGTTACAACAAATCGTTATTTAAATGGATACCATTATATAAAGAAATTTAAATGCAATGTAATCATTAAATCAACATTAGATACATAGTATTGTTAGTTATTATTTTTTTTTTTTTATTTGTTTTATTTTTCAAAACATTTTTCAACATGTGTTGACAAATAAACAGAAACATACACGCATCTTTACACACATCATCATCATCACCACAGTAATCATCATCATCATCATCATCATCATCATCATCATCATCATCATCATCATCATCATCATCATCATCACTACCATGATCATGATAATTATCATCCATTCATCATCATCATCATCATCATCATCATCATCATCATCATCATCATCATCATCATCATCATTCAACATTACCATCATTGTCTAGCTTCATCATCATCATCATCATCATCATCATCATCATCATCATCATCATCATCATCATCATCATCATCATCATTCTTAATAGCATCATTAGGATCAATATAATCATAATTATAACTATCATCCTTTCATCATCATCATCATCATCATCATCATCATCATCATCATCATCATCATCATCAATTATAAATGTATTTTTGTTTACAATCATCATCATCAACATGATCATCATCCCTCATTACCATCATCATCATCATTCTTATTATCATAATTGCCATCATTATAATGATAATAATAATCATCATCCATTCATCATCATCATCATCATCATCATCATCATCATCATCATCATCATCATCATCATCATCATCATTCTTAATAGCATCATTAGGATCAATATAATCATAATTATAACTATCATCCTATCATCCAATCATCATCATCATCATCACCATCATCATCATCATCATCATCAACATCATCATCATCATCATCATCAACATCAACATCATCATCAATCATCATCATCATCATCATCATCATCAATAACCATCATTACCATTATCATTACAATCATCATCATCAACATGATCATCATCCCTCATTACCATCATCATCATCATTCTTATTATCATAATTGCCATCATTATAATGATAATAATAATCGTCATCCATTCATCATCATCATCATCATCATCATCACATCAGACAGACAACATCATTCTTTCTATCATCATTATTATCAATATAATCATAATTATAATTATCATCCATTTATCATCATCATCATCATCATCATCATCAATTATAAATGTATTTGTTTACATACATTCATACACACTCGCATACTTTTACCACACATACATGTACACCCACACACATACACACGATCAAAAAAATACACAGAAACAAAGATTGGAAAGAGAAAAAGATAAAAAAAATATAAGAAAGGCAAGCACAGAGTAACAGGGCCACATGTACGATATTAGAAAGACAGGGGAGAGAGAGAGAGAGAGAGAGAGAGAGAGAGAGAGAGAGAGAGAGAGAGAGAGAGAGAGAGAGAGAGAGAGAGAGAGAGAGAGAGAGAGAGAGAGAGAGGGGGAGGATAGAGATGCTGGGCTAGAGACTTCAAGCACTCAATAGAATTTGGGTCTCAAAGGGAAATATACCCTAATGGGAACAAATGAAAACATTGTACATGCATTAACAAGTGGAAGGAAAAACAAGACCAACAACTGCTGTATGATCAACTAATTAAATAATCTAATTAAAACCTACATGTAGGTAATAAGGTTGTATAATGTACAAAGTTCAGGAAAAATCACAATCAAGGAGTTTTTTCTATTTTCTCCATTCAATCTCAAATTTCTGTTTATATTGTTCCCCTTGAATATTAGCAATGTATTTTTGGCAAATAAAATAATTCTTAATCAAATTAATGAAGGCAACAAGGTTTAATATCTTATGTTCGCACCTTGTTTTGTTTATGTAAAATTTAATCAAAATTAGAATGACATTATCCGTCTTATTTCCCGTTTCTCTCCCATTGTTTGCAAATATACCAAAACTAAAACTTTGTTTATTAAAAGAGAATGGGATCAGAAGGGCATCAAAAAGTGTTTCTAAACTTTGCAAAAATTTCTGGCTTTCAAGGCACTCCCATAAAACATGAATATTTGTTTCTCGTTGTAAATTGCAGAGATTACAAAATGGACTATTAACAAGACCTAATTTAAACAAAAAAGTATTTGTTGTTAGAATGTGTTGTAATACCCTATATTGAAACCATTGCAGTTTTGTATGTCTTGTTACTTTGAAAGGTGTA